GTGGTGGTGGTGGTGCGAATCTGAGATTAGGGTCAGATTGGGGTCAGATTAGGGTTTTGCGAATCTGCAAAAGGTAAATGTGTTAATTTGCTTGTGTTAATTTGCCCGAGGCACCAAAATTAAATTCCTGTGTTAATTTGCCATCATTTTCTAAGCAGGCTAGTGCTCAGATCTGCAAAAGGGGTGAGGGGAGAAAAATGAAGAACTCCATGGTTTTGCTTAATCCAGTTCTCTCAAAGTTTCTTATTTGTGTAATTTGCAACTGTAAATTCTCTGGGCAAGTTTGTGTGTAATTTGTTAATGAAAATTAACTAAGGTAGATTATTTGTGTGCATTTTCTCTGGGCAAGTTTGTGTGTAATTTGTTTGAGCATAATGTTTGAGCATAACGTTTGAGCATAATAACGCTTGCCACTGCCAGAATACTAGGAAAATTATAACGAAAAAAAAAAGACCCTACTGCCTCGGTTCAGCCTCCAACCGAGGCAGTAAAGGTTGAAAAACAATCTCGGTTCTGTTAATCGAGGTCGAATCGGACTATTTTTTGTCTCGTTTTAAAACCGAGGCATAAAGTCTATCACTTTTTACCTCGCCTGAATATGCCTCGGTTCATGAACCGGTGCCTATCAGTGAAAATAACCGGTGCCATTTCTTTTATCTGTACTAGTGTAATGAAAAGTCCTATGAAAACTCTTAATTATATAAATGCCTAATTATGAAAACTCTCAACAATTAAAACTTCTACCAATGAAATTTCTTAATAATTAAAAATCCTAAGACGTAAATACTACCACCTAAGACTTCAATAACCTTGAATGTGTCTAAGATTGATAGAGTACCTTTTATTATTGTATGAGATTGTTTTAGTTTAAAATAGAAAAACTAATTTCATTTTAACAATAAAATAATTGAACATCTTAGCATCCTAAACCCAATCAGAATGATAGATCAAGTTTAAGGTGTGTTTACTTGATTAAATCTTTTCCCCTCTATGTAATGCCTTCGACATTTGTTTCAGAACATGTGTTATGTGCACTTTGAACTAAAATTTAAAAATTGTTTTATTATTCCCTAAGAAAATTAAAATTGATAGAAAATTATTAAAGGCATATGTTTGCGATAAGAAACAAATTCAGCCCCCTCTTGGTTTATTGTTCACGCTATACATTCAAATGGCGAGGCAACACCAAATCTTTGTTGAGGGTGTCTCTATCAACAGAACTACTTTGTTTAATGGTGAAAATTATGCTTTCTAAAAGTCAAAATGCAAATCGTTATGGAATTTGTAGATGGTGAGATTTGGGAAACTGTCACAAATGGTTCTTTTGTTCTTACTGTATTTATTAGCAATTTTTCAGAAACCAAAAGCTCATGACCAATGGAATGCTTATGATAGAAGAAGAACTCAATAGATGTAAGGGCTCAAAATATTATATCATCTACTTTAACTATTAACAAGTTTTACAGGGTCTCTACCTGCAATAATGCTCAAGGGATGAAGGAGATGCTAAGGGTCACTCACAAAGGTACAAATGATGTAAGAAGAGCAAGAAGGAATGCTAAGGGTCACTCACAAAGGTACAGATGATGTAAGAAGAGTAAGAAGGAATACCTTGATCCAGGAATATGAGATGTTTTGAATGAAGCAAGGAGAGACAATCATTTATGTTCAAAAGTGCTTCACTCGTATTGTGAATCATCTCATCGGGTTAGGTAAATCTTTGGATAATGATCAGTTAAATATAAAAATTCTTAAATCTTTAGAGAAGACTTGGCAACCAAGGTGACTGCAATAAGTGAGTCACAAAATCTCAATACCATATCAATGGCCACATTGCTTGATAAGTTGATAGAATATGAACTTGATCTTGGAAGATTGAATGAGGATGAAGTAAAAGGAACGAAAAATACGCTAGCTTTCAAATCCGAGGTTGAAAAGGGAAAGAATATAAAAAAGGATGAAGACTTTGATGAAGATGAAGAAAATATGTGTCTTATCATCAAAATGCTAAACAAGTTCATGAAGTCTAAAGTAAAATAAGATTCAAAAGCGGGAAGAAGGAAAATAAAAAAATTTTCATCAAATGACCGTTATTATGGTTGCGGAGAGAAAGGACATATGAAAGTTGAGTGCCCAAATCAAAAGAATGGTGAAGAAAGAAATACAAAGAAGTTCTTCACGAAAAAGAAAACCTACATTGCTTGGGATGATGATAATGAATCAACATCAGGCTCCAGTGACTCTGATGAGCAAGCAAACGTTTATTTACTGGCAAACGAAAATATATATGAAAGCCAAATAAGTTCAAAATCTAAGAAGTCCATGTGGTATCTTGACAATGGTTGTTCAAGACACATGACAGGGGACAAAAGGAAATTGACAAACTTCCGGAAAAAGAAACAGGGCTATGTCACATATAGTGATAATAACCAGGGAAAGATCCTTGGTATAGGAGATATTAGAAGTGAAAACACCTTGGTGATTAAAGATGTACTATTTGTAGAAGGATTGAAACACAATCTACTTAGTATAAGTCAACTTTGTGATCAAGGTCTCAAGGTAACTTTTAAACCAAATTACTACACTATAACTCAACTAACCTAGACACTAAGTATTTTAATTCTCTTCAAAATGTACAACACTTATGAGCAAATGTAGTTTGGCAACTCTTAAGGAGAGGATAAAAAGAATACAATGAAATATGAGATATTGGTAAGGTTCTTTCTCTAGAAAATTTTGCTTCAGACGATATAAGAGCAGACTAACAACAACCTTATATAAGCATTCAAAAGTTTCCTATATTATGACCGTTAGATAGAGAGGTTGATTTTATGTAGAGTTGGTAGTCTTTTTAGGTGAGACGTGAGACTCAAGTCTACTTTGCAAAGGTACAGTGCTTTGTCATATTCTTTATCAAAACATAACTTGTACGATGTGTCAAAGCAGAAGTATTCAAGGGAAACATTCCCAAAATATTCCTCATATTTCTCAATGTCTTTTTCATGGGTATAGTGATTCTGATCAAGCCTTTGTACATTTTGTGATCTGAACAAATATCAAGAATAAGGTATACAATTATCGAAGCACTTTATCGTACATGCACTAAATATTTTGAACGTTGGTAAACGTTTATAGACGATACATTTCATATAATGCTTGCTTGAGTAAGCTCTATTTTGAATAATACATTTTAAGCTTCAATGTTAGCATAGAGATAAACACTTCTTTTAGTAAGACGCTTGCTTGTAAAATGATGTTTGTTAACACATATCATCTATTAAATCATTCTTTAATAAAGACACTTGCTTTCATTAGATGTTGTTTCTAAAGATTTGTCTGTCAGACAATATAGTCTATAAAATGTTATTGTAGCTTGATTACGTGTAGAATAGGTGTTAAAACATGTTATTATAAACTTGCTTAATCTCTCGTTTTTAGTTTAATTATGTGAATAAGAGAATTGATGTTATACTTGATGATTTTTATCACTAATTCCCTTGATTGTTTAGGTTATTGGAATGATTTGGAAGAGGAGTTAAAGTATCAGGGACTTGGAACCCAGAAATGACAGAAAAAGCACCAGAAGAGATGGCTATAGAAGGTCGCAGGACGCCTAGTTTCCCTTTTCTGGGGCCCTGGGCGCAGGTTCTCACGCAACCACGACTGGTTGCCCTTTTCTAGAGCCCTCAACACCAACAGTCACGCACCAGTGCCTGCTTTCTGATGACAAATTTATGAACACCGAAAAACAGCGCCACAAACTTGTTTAACAATCGGCAAGTGTGACCGAATCGTATCAAGTAATAAAACTAGGTAAGACCAAGTATCGTTTTCCCAAAGGACTCACGACCTAGTTAGCTATATGATTTGTTGATTATTTAAGACTTGTTAACGATTGATTGTAGGGTTTAAATGCAAAAGACAACAATTAAATATGTATGCATGTAGTTGATCAATGGAAAAGAGGAAAACAAACACTTTAATGAATTAAATGGATGAGTATGTTGTTGGGGTTATCAATTTCATCTTATCCACTCTCATATACTTTTAGGAATTCATCATTCTTTTCATCAATTGTTAATGCCACTCTCTAAATCACCTTGCAAGAAGGCCTATCCTTAATTACGAGTTCATACAATTCCTAGCATTCC